TATATGAAATACTTGGTTATATGCAAATGTGATTCTGGGGTGTTACACTAGTGAAACAAGAGTTATAAACCATCTTGCTATCTTTCCTAACTCCCATGATTAAAGTACAAATCCCAGAGAATATTAGAATAAAGAAAGAGTCTATATTGCAAAGAAACTGGTGTATTGTACACTTTCTTTCCCACTATTTTTATTAGCCCACTGAGTTTTCATTTTGGTGTGAGGGTTTTAACGAGCAACAATCGTGCACCATCACTTCTTTAATTCAGTACAAGGGGGAATGTTGAAGAATAACTATGGCATTGTTATGGATATAATGATATTGATATAGATAGACATATTAACGATAGATTAAAATTAAGATTCCTCATAGTTATCTACTTGTATTTCATCTCTATTTAAAAGGCTTATGGATAATACAAATAATAGAGTTCTGATATCTATTTACTATTCTTTTGTTTCATACATGGTTCCCATAATTGGATTCTTACCTCTTTTAATGCTTTACAAAGTCGTATCATAGGACAAAAAGAAAGATAAAAAGAAAATTTTCACAAATAATCATTTCACAAAATGATTTTTACTTTTTAGTCATCTTAGAAACCCATTCTCTCAAATAGCCAAAGTTTACAAAAAAAACCTTTACACAAAATTATTTTCATATAAAAAAAACTAAGTTAAGAAAGGAGGTTATGCAAAAAGTTTTATAAGAAAACTTTACGCAGAAAAAATAGCCAAAGTTTACGAAAAAACCTTTACACATAAATTTATTTTCATATCAAAAGAAAAAAAAATAAGTTAAGAAATGAGTTTATGCAAAAAGTTATATGCGAAAACTTTACGTAGAAAAAGTTTTTATGCCTAAAGTTTGTTTTTCAGACAAAAAAAGAAAAATAAGTTAAGAAAGATGTTTACGCAAAAAAATGAATGTACATATTTTTGCGTAAAGTTCAATTTTTAATTTTTCTTTTTTAGGCTGAAAATAAACTTTACATAGAAAATCTTTTTTTTTATACATAAAACCTTTTATAAACTTTGACTATTTCAAAAATGAACTTCATAGAATGACTAAAAAATAAAATAATTTTATAAAATGATTATTTTACATAAATTTATCAAGATAAAACCTGTAAAGACTCAAAAAAAATTTCCTTAATATAATAAACGTCCATGTATAAATAAGCCATAAAGTTTAAATAGTTCAACGCAACAGAAGTACTTTTTAAAATAATAAAACTTAAAGGAACATTTATCTAATGATATTCATATCAAATCCCGGATAGTCTCTACGCCAAGCCTTTATTCCGCGATAGCCGGTTCGAAACTTTCTCCTTTCTCTTGCTACTATTCCTGTATGTGAGACGACCTGGTTGCATAATTGTTTTTGAAAGGAGTTGGGTGAACCAAGAGCCCAGTGAATTAGCAGTTTTAATGCATACAGAACGTAAAAAAAAGATTTCACAAAGCGTCATAATTTTTCATGCATACGGTTTAAACAACATACTTCACAAAGCTAGTGGTGTTACGGGAGATGACTACCTCACACAACATTACTTAGCGAACTCACGTAGCATGTCTGCACTTACAACTTAGACAAGCTCACAAAGCATGTTTGTCTTTATGGAATCATACCGTAGTACAACCTCCACTGCCACACAACATATTTTATAAAATAAGGCACGATTTAAGCATACATGATATTCAAATATATCGAGAAAAATTCCAGCAAGCTTGCATATAATTGTAAATAAAATGTGCAACCATTTTTAGGAAAATCACGTATAACTCACCGTACAAGTCGTTGCCTAAACCGATCCTTGAAGTGGCTAGCTCCTCCCCTACAACGATTAGTGTCAAACTAGACGCGTTGTAACTCTTCTTCTCCGGCATCCACTAGCTCTCCTTGACGATGGATTTTTTCTCAAGGTTACCATGCACCATCCTTTTTATACCCTCCGATCGGCGGTTTCAAAGCATTTGAACCATCCCATCATAAATGGTCGGTGGTTACTTTAGTCTCTTGACTTGCATAAGCCACCCTTTCACCTACATTTTAACCCCTACAATTACTAACCATAATTTATTATCTTTTTTTTCTTTGGTTATTACAAACTTCCCCCCTTAACAAAATTTTGTTCTCGAAATTTGCCTTATGCAAATAAATGGCGGTATTTCAACCTCATATTCTTCTCGGGTTTCCAAGTTGCTTCCGGCCCCTTATGATGTTTCCATTGGACTTTCACGATAGCAATTTCTTTGTTTCTTAGCTTCCTCGCTTTCCTATCTATAATTGCCTCTGGATCTTCCATATAACTTAGTGTCTTGTCCACCTTTATATCCTTAAGAGTTACCTCGGTGCTCTCATCCGCCAAACACTTTCATAAATTACATACGTGAAACGTATTATGGATGCCTTGAAGTTCTTCAGGTAGTTCCAACTTATAGGCAACCTCACCTATCCTTTCAGTTATCTTGTAAGAACCAATATAACGAGGACTTAGCTTCCCCCGCTTTCCAAAACGAACTACGCCTTTTCATGGTGAAATCTTAAGCATAACTTTGTCCCCAACTTGAAATTCTATCGGCTTTCGTCTTTTATCGGGGTAGCTTTTTTGTCTATCTTGTGCGACCTTTAATCTTTCCCTTATCTGTTTTATCTTGTCGGCAGTCTGCTGAACTATTTCGGGGTCAACCAATTGTTTTTCACCCACCTCATTCCAACATAATGGTGTTCGACACTTTCTCCCACACAAAGCTTCATATGGTGCGACTTGAATGCTATCATGATAGCTATTGTTATAGGAAAATTCTATCAATGGAAGATGGCTTTCCCATGACCCTACAAAATCGATAGCACATGCCCGCAACATATCTTCTAGAGTTTTAATGGTCCTCTCGCTTTAACCATCTGTTTGTGGGTGATAGGTTTTACTTAGCTTTACTCGTGACCCCAACTCTCTTTGAAAGCTTTGCCAAAACGTAGAGGTGAACCGACTGTCCCTATCAGAGACTATTGATAATGGAACACCATGACGAGTCACAATCTCGTCTATATACAACTTAGCTAGTCTTTCCATGGAGTACGTTTATTTAATTGGCAGAAAATGTGCAGACTTCGTAAGTCTATCAACGATTACCCATATAGCATCATAACCCTTTGGTGTTCTTGGGAGTTTCGTCATAAAGTCCATTGTGGTGTGGTCCCACTTCCACATCGGAATTTCTAGGGTTGTAGCTTACCATATGGTCGTTGATGTTCAACTTTGACTTGTAGACATGTCAAACACCTTTCGACATATTGGGCTATGTCTTTCTTCATCCCTGGCCACCAATAAGATTGACGAAAATCTCGATACATCTTATTGTTACCCAGATGGATAGAATATCGAGATTTATGGGCTTCGTCTAACACTTGGTTACGGAAGTTGCCTAAGCGAGGAATCCAAATTCTGCCTTTATAGCACTTTAACCCCTGATTATTATCTTCAAGCAACGGACCAACCCCTACCATTCTCTCTCCCTTCAAGTTTCCCTCTACTGAAGCTTCTTCTTGAATTTTCTTGAGTTCAAAGGTCCAACTAGAAGTGACCTCCATCCTCATTTTTTTAATCTTCACCCGATCGCTCATTTCTTTGCAACTTAATGCGTTGGCCACCACATTTGCCTTCCGGAGGTGATATAAAACTTCACAGTCATAATCCTTCAGCAACTCCATCCACCTTTGTTGTCTCATGTTCAGGTCCTTCTGATCAAACAAGCATTTTAGACTCTTTTGATCAGTATAAATTTGGCACTTCACCCCATATAAGTAATGCCTCCAGATCTTAAACACAAACACCACCGCTGCCAACTCTAACTCGTGAGTTCGGTATCGCTTCTCGTGTTCTTTTAGTTGACGTGAGGCATATGCAATAACTTTCCCTTGTTGCATTAGTACACAACCAAGTCCTAGCTTGGAAACATCACTATAAACTACATACCCTTCAGTTCCTTCTGGTAAGTTCAATATCGGTGTGGTGCTCAACTTTTCCTTTAAGACTCTAAATGCCTCTTCTTGAGATGATTTCGATTCAAACTTCACACCTTTATTTGTTAGTGCTTTCAACGGCGTTGCTATCCGTGAAAAGTCCTAAATAAACCTTTGATAATAACCAGCTAACCCCAAGAAGCTTCGTACCTCAGAAGGGGTCCTTGGTTACGCACCGCCTTGCTTTAAGTAAGGAGATCATGCTAGATTTCCAATTTCTTCTATCTCCATAAATTACTATGGTTTCACTATCGGGTAATTCAATCTGAATTACCTTTTTGTTACACATAATTCTTGCCTGGTTTTTAGCTAACCAGTCCATTCCAATTATTTTATCAAATTCCCCGAGAGTCATAGGGAGTAGTTTTAATGGAATAGAACAACCATCTATCTGAATATTGCAGTCATCATACTCCTCTCTAATTATCACCCTATTATCATCAGCAGTTTCTATCTCTAAGGATGAACTTAAAGGCTTCGGTACTCTATGCAAGTAATCACATAAAGTAGTAGACACAAAAGAACAGTTTGCGCCAGAATCAAAGAGTACTCTAGCATGCATAGAGTTGACCAGAAAGATACCTGTCACCACGTGCAGTGTCTCCTCGACCTCTATTGCTGTCATATGGAAGACTCTTCCTTTTGACTTAGTTACTTCAGGTCTCCTTTCCTCCCTTTTTCCATTTCGACTTCCACTTTGACCTGTAGTATGCTCATTCTTCTGCTCAGGGCAATTTGCTTGTATATGGTTGGGTGACTTACAAATGAAGCATAGTCGCTCCCTTCGCTCAACTTTGCAATCCTGAGACAGATGTCCTGGCTTCCCATATCGGTAACACATCCTCGGCTTAACCATGCATTCTCTTTTAGGCACACGGTTGCATTTAGGACATGGTTTAGCAGTTTGCCCTTGCCATGTCTTCTTTTCTGAACCCAAAAGCTTTGATTTCCTGCTTTCATTGCTCGGACCTTCTCATTTTCTTTTTATTTGGCCCTGCTCAGCATCTTGACAATTTATCTCTTTCTCTTGAATTTCCACAGCGTTTACTGCCTCCTGAAATGTGGTTGGACTCATAGTGAGAACAAATTCCCGAATAGAGGCTTTTAGTCCCCAAATGTACCGCTCTACCCGTCTTTCCTCAGTCGAAACATAGTGCTCGGCAAACCTTGCTTTTTCAATAGAACTTGTTGTATACTCCTGGACTGCCATGATTCCTTGTTCCAACCTCAAAAATTCCTCTTCCAGTTGCTTTATCGCAGTTCGAGGAAAAAACTTCTCATTAAATAATACCTTAAACTCACCCCATGTCATTCTTGCCACAGCCTCTTTTCCCCTTAAGTTCGTAATTATTTCCCACCAGAAAAGGGCTTTTGATTTTAGCATGGATGTCGCATATGTCATCTTATCTTCCTCCGCACACTTACTGATTTTGAAAATCACTTCTGACTCTTTTATCCACCTCATAGCTGCCACTAGGTTAGGGTCACATTGAAAGGGTTGGGGCTTACATGATAGAAAGGTCTTATAATTACAACCTTTTTTTGTCTTGTGCCCGTGTTGACAGGACTATTTGGTCTTGACCTCTCATGTCGGTCTTCTCTGTTGTTAGAATCACTAATATCTCCTCTTATATTGTTTATCACCCTATCCTCCTGATTTCTAAGCTCTGCCTCTCGCACCTGAGCTAGAACTAGATAGCTTGTAAGGCTCTTGTCACTTCCTGAGCGATGATGTCCACAGGGGTAGCGGCGGTTGCTCGGCTTCGTCCTCACCCCTGCCTCGGCCTCTTCCAGATGCAGAGCTTTCTTGCATAGAGGGCTCAGGTTCATTTTGTGTCGCTTGAGTCCTACCTTGTCCGCGTCCTCTTCCTCGACCTCGTCCCCACGTGCTTGCGATCCTTGCAGTCGCAGCTGATGCTGGTCGGGTCTCTTGTACAATAGAGGTAGCTCCTATAGGTGGTGGGTCTACTGCATCAGGTGTAACTGATGCTGTCCTTCCTAACCGTCACGACATTATTGTTGTGCATGTTAAACGTTTACATTTATAAGCATATTTATTCATAACCTACTCATCCAACATTCACTCAATAAGATAATATGTTTCTTGCAAAAGATAAGTCAATACATAAGTCTTGTTTATTACGCCAAACTAGCTAATATATAAACCAAAATAAACCAAGCTCAAGGCCGGTTAATATCCAAAAATATCCTAACAAAACAAAAGTACTTAACTCAAGACTATGTTTCTTTCTCACCCTCTCACTCAAGGCATGTCCGTGGGGTAGTTAATGATCTTCACAAACCTCATAAGTGTTATTTGGACGGTATTTTCAGATAACTCCCAAGCTCGGGCCATGATGGTATTGGTGTGCTCAGCTGGAAAAATACTCCTTGGTCAAGCTTACATATTTCAAGGCCACTCCATGGTAATAGTAAGCAAGGTCTCCCAATTGCACTTTCCAAGACCAGGCGACAATCCTTCTTTCCCACTCTAACTCCACACACTTCCACACCATGTCGTGTTTGCTCCCCCAAAGTTCATCATTTTCTTTCAACACCTTGTTTAACTCTCCCCCTAAATTAACATGTTCCATTTGCAAGTTGTTCAACCACAATTCCACTTTGGTCTTTTCCACTTGAATCTTAGACAATTATGTTCTCAGTTTAGCATTCTCACCATGCAAATTCGTTATATTCTCTTCTAAGTCGTCACGAGTAGGCGTGCATGGGGTGTACTCCTCATAAGGTTCCTCTATTGAATCATAGGAAGAATCCTCTACAGGTGTGGGTTGAGATGACTCAACCCTTGAAACACTCACGTGACCCCTAGAACTGCTCCTCAACCTCCTAGGGCGTCTGCTACTGTGGCTAGAGCTTGTACGGTCATGTTCCCCGACTCCACCCTTGGTCCTAGTCCAGCTACCGCACTTCTTTCGGCCCTACCTCCTCGACGGCCAATGCTCCTAGTATGCTTGGTATAAACCATACTCCTACAAAACCACAGTGAATAATCTATCATCTTCCAACACACTTTCAAAACTTAATAACAAATTAAACCAACTATAACAATATTAAATCATATAACCTTTTCGTTGTTTCTATCTTTTATACCCCATCTCAGTTTAAGCTTAGGCTAAAATTAATAACCTATTTCTCTTAAACTAAGGCTCTGATACAACTTGTAAAGACCCAAGTTTTTTTTTCTTAATATAATAAACGTCCATGTATAAATAAGCCATAAAGACTAAATAGTTCAACGCAACGAAAGTATTTTTTAAACTAATAAAACTTAAAGGAACATTTATCTAATGATATTTATATCAAATCCCGGATAGTCTCCATGCCAAGCCTTTGTTCCGCGATAGCCGGTTCTAAACTTTCTCCTTTCCCTTGTTACTATTCTCGTGTGTGAGACGACCTGGTTGCATAATTGTTTTTAAAAGGAGTTGGGTGAGCCAATGACCCAGTGAATTAAGGGTTTTAATGCATATACAACATAAAAAAAAGATTTCACAAAACATCATAATTTATCATGCATACGGTTTAAACAACACACTTCACAAAGCTAATGGCGTTACGGGAGATGACTACCTCACATAGCATTACCTAACGAACTCGCACAACATGTCCGCACTTACGGCTTAGACAAGCTCACAAAGCATGCTTGTCTTTATGGAATCATACCGTAGTACAGCCTCATTGCCGCACAACATATTTTATAAAATAAGACACGATTTACGCATACATGATATTCAAATATATCGAGAAAAATTCCAGCAGGCTTGCATATAATTTTAAATAAAATGTGCAACCATTTTTAGGAAAGTCACGTATAACTCACCGTACAAGTTGTTGCCTAATCCGATCCTTGAAGTGGCTAGCTCCTCCCTTACAACGATTAGTGTCGAACTAGACGCGTTGTAATGAACCTTCGTCTTCTTCTCCGGCGTCCACTAGCTCTCCTTGACGATGAATTTTTTTTTCTCAAGGTTACCATGCACCATTCTTTTTATACCCTCCGAATCGGCGGTTTCAAACCATTTGAACCATCCCATCATAAATGGTCGATGGTTACTTTAGTCTCTTGACTTGCATAAGCCACCTTTTCACCTACATTTTAACCCCTACAATTACTAACCATAATTTATTATTCTTTTTTATCTTTGGTTATTACAAAACCCCTATTAAATTGATCGATGCCCCACCAGAAAACCTAATTCCCATTGTTTAAATCCTTAATTATAAGTCATCATTGAAAAGCATTGTTATTCTTGTTAACACCTTTTTTGAGTGTGTGCATGCATGCATACGCACTTGGTCACGACTAGGTCAAGTAGGCCTGTCCATGTTATGTTAATTATTTAATTAGGCGATAATTTTCATACCTAATCTTTCGTATTTGTATTAAAGTAGTTGGGTTCATTAGGATTTGTAAAATATCAATACTTATAGTTTTTTTAATAATTTGCCAAGTCATGCATGTCACAACAAAAACAAAGATAAAAAAAAACCCATATAATAATGATGTTGGATTAAAGAGATGATTTAGAATGTAAACATATTGAAGATGTGATTTGTAGATCTCGTAATAGCAATTTTTTCTTTATAAAACTTGAATGATATGTAATGATTTATAAAGTAGACTACAAATTTGCCCGTTGTAGTTTGTTGAAAATAACGCTTTTTGTTATTACAGTTTCAAAATTACAAGATAAAAATCGTGGTTTACAAAAACGTCCGGATTTGGTCTCTTTCTCTAACAACCGTTATAGAATTTCATTAATTAGATGAGGAGCATATTTCATTCTTTTATCGATTTTTCTTGTCTTTAAATCAATCAAAATTCAAGAACTATGTAAACGAAAATCATAGAATCGATTCTAATTGGGTACAAGGTAAAATAACGATAAAAATACGAAAATATCTCTCATTTAATGAATTTTTTAATGATTATTAGAGAAAGAGACTAAAATCCTAACGTTTTAATAAAATATGATGGCCATGTTGTGATTTTGAAATTATAACGGTGAAAACTATTATTTTCAACAAATCAAATTGGACAATATTTATAGTTTACTCTTAGTTATATTTGAAAGGTTTTCGTTATGTCAAAATTGATTTTTGTTATTTAAATAAGTTGTATTTTAAATTTTATTTCAAATAAAACTTTATCTTTAAAAAGAAAGTGTCATCATAAAAGTTTGCTACAATAAAAAATCTGTGAAGGTGACTTTTTTCGTGAGACATGTGAGACCACCTTTTTACACTTGAAACTTTACATTAAAATGCTGTGAAGGTAACTTTCTTTTACCTTCACAGTGTTTTTGCTATGAAGGTTCCACTTTTTTTTAACCTTCACAATGTTTTTGCCGTGAAGTTTACGTATAAAAATGTGGTCTCACGGGTCTCACGAAAACAGGCTGGTCTCACGTGAACCCAACCCTATATATATATATATATATATACACACACACACACACATATAAATATATATATATATATATATATACACACATATATATGGCATATATGAATGCTTTATAATAAAAGTCACAAGTGTTACAAAAAATATTTAAAACACTGAAAAGAAGAGATCTCATGTAATTTTTAATCGGGTATGGGTCATTTAGTCACAAACACGCCTTGGGTTGATATATCAGTCTTAATTGATCATTCACTTATCCGGGTCGTGTTTTATACTGGTCAAATTCCCACCCTTGAATCATAAAACTTTAATATGGAATAGCATGCAAGAGTTATTCAAAGACTGATTAAACACATAGCATATAAACATTCACAAAATAACATACATATAAAATATATCATAACATGTATGTAATTGAAATATCATGCATACATACACATCATCAACGATTCATATCATGTAAAAATAAATTTGTACTTAGATATGCGTCCCAATGAAATCTCATGAATACTCACCTGATAACGTAGGTTGTAACTAATATCGCTGAATGGTAACCTACAATTTATAATATCGAATAGTGCATTAATGATTAATTTCTCCCAAAGGCCAACATAAAAGTCAACTTACGGTCAACTACGTCGACTAGGGTCAACCTTGGTCAACTATGCTTAAGAATGTTCTTCACATCAATTAAAATTATAGGAACCGTCAGTTCGACATAAGGTGTCTCATCTAGCTATAGATCTTAAAACGACATCATAAATGTGATTGTTAAGTTATCTAATTATGATAAGTAGGTTAATAATTACATATTTCGAGTTAAAAACGTCCTAATAAATTCATAACATGAGTAACACTCATATGGTCAATTAATCACTTTATAACTCCATAAAATCATCTTTTATAAAGTAAATGTCTAGACAATATATAAATACATATAAAACTCAAGAGCTACGATTTAATCTCATTAAAAAAATTCTAATTATTTAAATGATTCATTCTCTAATTATCCTCAAATAATTACATAGTTAAAGTAGTAA